CTTTTTTTTGGTTGTTTTTTCAAATCTTAAACTTTTCACTCTCTTTCCCCCCTTTCCTTCCCCCCCCCCATAAAATTACTTGATCATTAAAGATGGCTTCTTCTTTGTCCAGATCTTCTTGTTCTACAAGCGTTTCTTGTTATTTCTCATAGTTCCAGATCTCCATTTCTAAGAATTGAAATACGAAGCCAAAAGAACCTCTCCCTTCTTGTGCATCTTCTTTGTACTTTTTAAGTCCATTTTCAGTTCTTCTAAAAGTGGTGCTATTTTAAACACTTTTAAACAACCACCCGATTGATTTTAGTCATTTAAATACAATAGCCAAAAATCCAAAAATCACCAAGTAATCGAAGTAATCCAAAGCTGTTTCTTCTTGCTTCTTTTTTCCACTTTCTCTTCCTGGGGTTCTATTATTTTGTTACAAAGTTTCAGTAGGAATGTATCTTTTAGGAATCTTGTTAAGGTTTCACTGTAAATTCCTTTTAGTTCCAGGCAGTTTCCTCCATTTTTCCAGATCCTGCCCTTTTATTCTTTTTCTCTCCTTTCCTGCTTTTAAAAGTTTTTAAATATCCAAAAATCTTTATTATCCCTTTGACATTTTATTTTCAGCTTAAATGCCTATTAATATCAAAGTGGATTTTTGTCAATTTCTTACTTAAGTCTCTTAGTTGTCAGTATAAGGAAGCGAGAAAGAAAAAAAAACAAATCCTTTCCCTTCCCTCTCTCCTTCGCTGCTTCAAAATCTTCTTTGGGAACAATGTTATTTTTATAGTTTAAATTCCAGGGTACCTTACATTGCTGCTTTTTCAGTTTAACCCAGTCAACCAAAACTTTCTCTTCTTATCTTCCTCCTGCACTTTTTTTTTCCGGTCCAGTTCTTCTTTGAGGTGGCTATTTCTGACCACTGCTGCAACCGCCTTTGGGAAAGGGAGTAATGGCCAGCTGGGGAGGAAAGATGCAGCTCTCCTTGACCCTGCTGGCAGTCTCCCCCATCTTCACCACCTCTACGGGGTGGCTTAGCCCCGAAACCAGCTGGCTTGGGGCACTCTGGTGGCGAGCACGGATTGCAGATTTCGGTTGATCGCCGAAGGAGCTCAAACCGGAAGTCCGCAAATAGCACTTTGTTAACTAACAGTGCCTGGAGAAGGCAGAGGAATTAAGTAGGAAAGGAAAAATTAAAAGGGTATTTGAAAAGGTTCATTTAGATAGTATGAAGGGAGATCAGTGAGGAAGAGCAACTATGTCAATGGGGAAAAAATGGGATGGTATACACTAAAAACTTGGAAAATACCTGAAATAAGGGAAATATTGGCAAAACTTGTGAAGAAACTATTACAAT